CCAGCCGTCCTGTGTGGGTGATGAACTGCACTGCTGTCCAGGGCTCTGCCACTGAGGCAAGGCGGCCCCCGCATAGTCGTCTGGAAAGACAGAATTAACTTTGCTTCCCAGACCTTCTCGTAAGCCTATAAACTATCACTGTAATTATTACTGTGAGTGTATAGGTCATATTTCATCCCCTTTTTAAATCTTTTCCTCATCCTTGACCTTCAAACAACTATGAATTTTCCTTAACAGTTGATGTTTTCTGGAATTTTGTATGATTTAAGGAAAAATGTTTTTTTCTAGTTTATGATACATGATTGAGATTGTTCAATGCTTGTATGAATTTCTCATTGTTTTTATTATTGATTAGGCTATTTTTGTGGCTATACCATTTACTTATCCATGTGTTTATGAGCATTTAGATTATTTCTTTTGTGTTAATGGCTCAAAGTGCAATGCCTGAGACACAAGATAGGTAGATGTTTAAGGAAACTGCTGAACTGAACAAAAGTGGTGGTTTGCTTTGGCTTACTTACGACTATGAGAATTGCATTTCTTCACACTTTTGCCAACGGTTAGTATGATCTGTTCTTTGAAATTTATCTTACCAGCAAGAGTGCCATGCTTTTAACTACATTTCTGTACAGATTTGGATATTGGACATTTTTTCATGACTTTTTTTTAGCTATGTATCATTGGTAAAATGTTCATATATTTTGCATGTTTTCTTTTTTAAAAATTTAAGCCCGGGGCTCACTGCCATTCAGGCTGGCCTTGAGCTCGCTAGGTGCCCGAGCGTGGTCTGGAACACAGAGAGATTCTCTTGCCTCAGCATTCCCAGTGCGGAGCCTAGAGGTATGTGCAGTTACGCCACAGTGCGTATTTCCTTGCTTGGCACCTCTTTCTCTCTTTGTTAGTGGCTCGTTTTTGTTCAGTAGTTTTCATGCTACACGCAGTGAATGATCACACACACACTTGCAGTTGAATCAGTACCTGTTCTTTCATGTTGGTACATCTAGGCATCAAATAATTTATTAAATAATAGGTAAATCAGGCATGGCTTGCAGTTTTTGCTAATTTTCCTGGCAGTCTTCCTTCAGTCATGTCCAGTTTCAGAGTATCAAAATGGTATCACTGAATGGAGTTGGCAGAGCTGGCAGAAGCCCAGCATCCCGCCTCCCCTGGTCATGCAGTGGTGCAGCTGACCTTAGGACTCTGCTACGCAGCTCTGTAAAATTACTTAGAAGGTCCAAAATTTGAGTATTTGTTTAAAAATAGTTTAATGCAGCTACAATGGAAAATGCATGTACTGCCTATGTTTAAAATGCCCTTTTATTGTTTTGATGTTTATATTCTTGAATATTTTCATTTAAAATGGAAGAAAACCTGTAGGTTGAATATGTGGATAAATTATTCATTTAAATGTGACCGTGGGTCAAAAAACCCCAGGGTAATATATTTGAAATATGGGCAGTTTGTCTTAGTTACCCTTCTCTCATTGCTGGGACAAATACTTGACGCTCAAAATGCGGGAAAGGAAAGATTTATTTAGCTCACAGTTACTGGAGGTTTCATAGTTCAAAACAGCCTGGATTATGTAGCAAGACCTCACAGCCTTATTTGCTGGGGACAGAGGGTCAGCGCCTCTGTCGTCTCCAAACATCTCCTCTCTGAGGCGGCCGCAGTGGCAGACACTGCCCCCACTCTACAGGGTCCAGAGGAAAGGCCGGGGCATGCGGTGTCCAGGATGACCCTCTCACTCCTCTGCGGAAGGCCACTGGCCTGGTTGGGGGAAGTGCAAGCTGTCAGTTTGAGGGTTCCTGCCTCTCTGTCCCCACCCCTCTGTGCCCACCCCTTAAGCCCTGCCCTGGTCCTCTGGCCCTACCTCTCAAGCCATTCGCAGCTCCTTCAGCCATGTCTGCTCCATGACTGCCCCATGACTTGCATGAGGCTTTGGGGGAACAACCAGACACAAATCATAACAGTTCTTATAAAAAAACCTAAATTTTAGCCAGGTGAGGTTGCACATGCCTGTAATCCCAGCTCTTGGGAGACTGAGGTAGGAGGATCACTGATTTTGAGGCCGGCTTGGGCTAAATAAGTGAATTCCAGGTCAGCCTGCAGTACATAGTAGACCGTCTAAAAATAAAAATTACAAACTCACAAACCATCAGAAAGATCAGTGGAGATTTCACTGCAGTTGGATAGGACTGAGACAGTCAAGTGTGCTGAGGCATAGCAAGGGAGCGAGGTAGAAGACACAGTTCAAATGTTTTTGCCTTTAAAGAGACGTGTTAGAGGAGAATTTATGTTTAACTTGGTTACATAGTATTTACATATGTCCGACTGCCCGTGATACCCCTTTAAGCTGTACAGTATTTATGTGTCCATTAAAAATTAATAAAAAGGGGAGATGGCTCAATACAATAAGTGCTTGCCTGACAAGCGCAAGGGCCTGAGTTCAATCCCTGGTTCCGCCAAAAAAAAAAAAAAAAAAAAAAGTGGAGCCCTCTGTTTTGATTTGAAACTGTCTCATTGCTGTTTATCAATAAAATTTTGAAAAAAATTAATAAAAGAATACCATTAAAGAGATGAAATTTGATGGCATTTTATTTTGGGGGTACTTGGGAGTTCAATTTAATTTTCAGTGTGGAGCCTTTGAAATGTATCTTCATTATAGAAATGGTATCAGTGATACAACATAATTTAGAGCTTGGGGCTAAAGAAATTGATGTAAATTTTAATAAATTTGCAATGTTCAGAGTGCACGTATATACACTGCAATATTTTTATGCTCTAGAGCAGTGGTGGCAAAACTGTGGCATGTGTGCTGCGGGGGTGCTTGTTTCACCGAAAGCTCTAAGAGGTTCGCCATCGCGGCTACATGGCTTAATAGCACCTGTGCTCACCAGTGCACTTGCTATCTCTAATTTCCAATGCCTCCTAGCACATGTGCATTGTAATGTATTGGTAATTACATGTCAATGGGCTACATTTTATATTTTGTAAATTCTGTACTAACTAAAGCACAGATATGAGTGTCTAATGAATATGTCCATAACCTAGTGAAAATGATTAGCAATGAAAGCCTCAGTTAACAAAGTTATATTATTAATGGAACATAGCACATTAATAAGTTGTAAAGTAGGGTCATTTCACTGATGAGCGAAAAGGATTTCACAAGATACAAATCCGGGTGTGATCAGAATTCTTACATAATAGAAGAGTTTCTCCCACGGATGCACCTGTGACATACCCTCAGCTCACACACCTCGCAGCAGGCGTCTGAGAGTTACCACTCATGCCTGGAGTCAGTCCAGAGCGGTGCACCACTACATCTGTTGAACCACTGTGCCTGAGTTCAGACTCACTGTTATAAGTAAGCAATACGAAGATGAGAAGATGCTGTAGGAGCAATAGAAAGCTGTATTTAAAAATGAAATAATGTCCACAGACCAGGAGAAATCACAAAGGAGTAATTTTTTTTTCAATTTTCTTTCTTAATTTCTTACAACGTTTTTCTTTTTGTCTTTCTTCTTCCAATTTTATATTGATATATATGATAATCTGAACAATTTGAATACACTGCAATACAATATATACTGTCAAATTCATATTATTTTGTTAGTGAAATTCTGCACCATTGATAATTATTTGTTCTAAATACTATTTTGTACTCTTTAAAAATAAAAATTTAAAAAATGAAGTAATTACAGAATATCTGAATTTAGTGCTAAAAATTGTATCTAAGTTTATCAAGATAACAGAGAAAAGGTCAAAATATAGATATTCTGCTTCTATACACTGCCAGTAAGCTACTGGAAAATGAAACTCAAAATACAAGAATTACACTCTTGGGGCTATAAACCAGCCGAAACAGTCCATACAGCAAAGTGCTCAAAGCTATAAGCAAGTTTTTGAATACCCACCACACCCAAGGAAAGGGAGAAACACCTTAGCCAAAAGCTTAGGATAATGGGTTTCGGTTCTGTCATCGTTCCACTAAAGTCATAACAACTGTTTTCTAGAAATTAAATTCTAAACCATATAGTGAAACACAAAGATCTGGAATATTTCAAAACTTTTTGTTTTAAAGTTTATTTTCAGGCAAAAAAAAAAAAAAAAAGACCCAAAACAAAAAAAGTTTATTTACGGGTGGGCCAGATAGCCTGGTGGTGCACACCTGTATTCCCTGCACTTGGGAGGCTGAAAACAAGAGGATCCCTATGATTCTGATCTGTGTAGCGAGACCCTGCAGACCCTGTACTGAATACATTAAAAAAAAAATTTATTTATGTGGTACAGGGCTACACAGCTG